GGTGGGATCACATGGCATAGTGCCACGAAAATGGCTGATCATGAGGTCGGTCAGATTGAGTGTGAGCAGGTGCATAAGATCCGCACCGAAGCAGCCCGGGAGGGAGAGGATGCGTGGGAGACCGCTGAAGATGCTAGGCTTAGCGATGCCGGTCTCGAGGCGACGCCGTGTGTACTCGGTGTGCGTGCGGGAGCTGACAACGTACCCGAGCGCCTCCTGGTAGCGTGCTGAGACAACGTCCGAAGCTTCTGCACCGTCGGGACGGACGTAGTCGGGGTGGTTTGAACCAGCATGCGTGTTGCCGTCTGCGCGCGCCATGGCAGGGTAGTACGTCGAGGCGGACCCTTTGAATCGTCCAAGAAGGCCGCAGTACAGCCTGCACCCGCGTGCCCCTTGGTGTCCGACGAGACCACTCAGATATGCCATGCCGGGCCCATCTGCCGTAGCGAGATACAGGTATGGGTCGGATCAGAACTCCTGCTCCCGGGCGGCATCCCAGATCTTGAGGCTGTTACGTTGCAGCGCTGCGACGTGGTAGAGGCCCGGGAAGAGGAACGAGTCGACATTCTTCAGCTTCTTCAGGCCTCCAATGACGCCTCCTGGGAGGACATAGCGCTTCTTGTAGCGTGAGGTCAGAGGGAGGTCGTACAGCACCCAGACGTAGAACCAGCAATCAGATGTCTTGGACTCATACAGCTGTGCCCCATCGAGCGACATCATGACGACACTGTTGTCTGTCTTGATTTCGCCATGTCCGACGGCACCGAGGTAGTCGTTGCCCCAGTACACATCATCGAGAGCCTCGACGGAGGTAGGGTCTGCTCGCAGCTGTGCTCGGATCTGGCTCGTGCGCTCCGCGCGGTGCTGCATGAGGCGTGCGTTCTCAGGCGACGCGTACATTGCCTGGATTTGCGGCCCGAGTGGGTACGTATGGAACGTGCGGCGCAGGACCTTGCGCCCACGCGGACCGTCCTCTTGCTCGTAGCGTGGCTCTCCGCATGTAGGGCAGTCTGGCTCTGCGGCGAATGGGCCCGTGAATGCAACGCACGAATTGATGCACATGTCGTGGATGAGTGCGTCAATGCCGGTGACATTCGCAATGAGGCGCTTAACTTGTTCGTACGTGGGGACCGTGTGCTCGTCCTCGGGATGCAGCTCCGTCATCGCAGCGCGGTTGTCAGTGTAATTGTCCTCGGAGGCGTCACCACGCGCGAGAAACATGCGCAGCGCAGCACGCTCTCCATCTGTGATCGTTGCGACGTGGTGCGGAGGTGCGCGGAGGCACGCGATGGTCTCCCCAGACAAGCCCGACCCATCCAGAGTCACAGTCTGCATGGCACGAATGAACGCCTGCGCTTCGGCGACCTCGCGGTGGCGCGCATGCATAGGCATGTCGACATCCTCGGAGTACCCGTTGACCGGTGGCTGAGCGAGCTCATCCGCCAATGGCAGGGGTGGCTCAGGTGGGTCGTCATCGTGGGCCATGAGCGGTGCTTGTCCGACCGGTGCGGGTACAGGGGGTACCGGGTGTTCGACGTCCATGGGGCTCAGCGTGTGGGGTTCATGGGATGGTGCGCGAACAGATGCGATGCCAGGGATACGTCCGCCCTGTACATGTGTTAGATAGATTAAATGCCGGGAATTAATTTGGACATTACCTGTTCAGCAAGCGCAACGGGTGCGTGCACGGGCGGAACAGGCGCACGGGCAGGCGCAGCGGGCGGGCGCATGGACGGCTGCAAGAGAGTCAGAGTGATATGTGTAAGACGAGACCAATGTACGTACCGGGACAGGCTGCGCGGGCGCGCGTGGCGCACTACCACCAGCCTGGGCGGCTTGGGCAGCTGCATCCATACGGCGTCGCTCGAAGAACTCCGCGGGGCCCTCACGGTACTTCGCATGGCGGTTCCACTTGCGGCGGTCGTTAATGATCTGAAGAACGCCGTCGCATAGTTGCCGACAGTTGCAGTACAAGATGGTGCCCGTAGGCGGAGGGGGGTCTGGGGGAGGTTGGGCCTGCATCGTCCATCACACTCAGCTGAATGGGCTCTGACGAACATTGTCTAGCATTGCTACTGCTTATATACATCGGCGGTGGGCCGCAGTGTCAGAAACAAAATATAGTGAGGCGGAACATACGGAGTGCTCGACTCCTTTTAGACGGGCGAGAGTGCGACATCCGGGTGTGTTTGTGGGACAAGTGCAGCCGCGAACGAGAGAGTGGGAGGGCGTGCAGCATAGAATGGAGATTGCTTGGATATAATGGAGGTGTACGCGCAGTGGAGAGCGCACGAGCGTAGGGAGGGCGCAATACCGGGAGTCCTGGAGTACTTTCAGACGGGCGGAAGTGGGACGTCCGAGTCCGTTTGCGGGACAAGTGCAACCGCGCACAATACAGTGGGAGGGCGCAACACCACGTATGGAGATTGCTTGGACATACTTGTCGCAGAGGGCACACAGGCAGACGGAGGGCGAGAATCCAGAGCGCAAGTGCGTGGGTGGCCGTGCGAAGGATTGCCTCAGAGTAGTCCCGGGTGCGTCAAGCGAGTGAACAAGAAACTAAACTGAGGCAGCTCAGACAGATAGCGAGAGAGAGGGGCCCAGAGTTGTTCTGGTCGGTGAAACTCGTGACGTGTGCTCAAAGAACAGAGCGAGTGAAGTCAAGCTCAGGCGATCGCGTTGGGCGCCTATACGTCCTAATTGGGACATGGACGCACGTGGATATACGCAGACGCATATGGATCTAAACGGATCTACCTGGACCGTGTCAATTCTCACTGGGCATCATGCGGCGCTAAATTGGCATTCAGCGCTTAACACTTGGGAGATTTCGAGCTTCGAGGACAGGTACTACTTGTACTAGTACTACTGCCATATGTACTGCACTAAGAGCGTTCAGGGCTTCCTCCCGTTCGACTATGCTAGTACTATCATAAATTCACTGACTGTGGGTGCTAATCAGCTGTCTACTATACTCTCCTGCCTTCAAGACAGAGACTCCCTTTGGGAAGCCTAGCATGCATTCGTCTCTGACTTCGGTAAGTGGCATAGCGCTGACGGGATATCTAGACGGGCTCGGGCGTATAACCACCGCATATAGCGCCAACACTTGGCTGGTCTCTAGCGCTGGATATCCCGAGATTTCAGCGCAGAGAGCCGCCGGACATCTGCAATCGGATGTCCGGGCAATGGTTGACCGACATCAGCGCGGGGTGTGCGGGGTGCCCCGGCCGGATACTGGCCGCCGAGATATCATTCGGATAGCCTGTTGAACTGGGCGTGTACTATACTGATTTTTCGTGTGCTCTTCGCGTGTTTCAGAGTTGTGAAATGTCTCAGAGGTCATAATTATTATTGGTAACATTTTGTGAAAGCCTGAACAAGTTTGAGCCCAAGTTGGACTCAAAGGCACAGTTCTAATAACATTTGGATTGGAAATCCAAGAAAATAGCTGATAATTAAGATAAATGTGCTGTAGAGGCCGCGAAAGGGACGCGCGAGGGTGCGCGCGCGCCCTACAGCCCCGCCGTCGGCAAGCATATGCCCGCGCGGCCGCGCGTCGGGGAGGGAGGCGAGGAGGGAGCGCGAAGGGCCGGCGGACTGTAAATTTCCCACGATGGGACTGTAAACGTCCCGGGTCGCAGCTAGCTGCGACGGGCTCGTTTTTGGCAGGAGATCCGGCCAAAATGATGCCCGAAATCGCGCGCGGGGGGTCCGTTTACAGTCCAACGGGTTTACAGTCCAACGGGACGCCCGCGGTCGGCTGTACGAGGAGGGCGCGAATGAGTGATGGCGGGCACAGCGCCGCGCGGCGGTGTCCGAGGTCCGCAGATCAGACATGTGCCAAATTACTATATTCGTCGCTTGGACTGTAGCGCGGGCGTCTATGGACCGTAAACGTACCGAAAGAAGTTGGATTGCCCCGCCCGCGGCCGGTAGGTAGTGTACCAACTGACGTCGCTGCTCTCCTTGTTCCAGCACCTCGTCCACCTCAATCCCCGCTCTCCGCGACGCGCTGACGACCTTGACATACGATGCCGCAGGAACGCGACAATGCGCTGAGGCCGGAGCAGAGGCCTGCTGACTCGGGGATCACGCAGGATCAGGATGATCAAGCAGATGAGACAGTGGCGTGCAAGCAGATCTATGCTATCGGACGACGCCTTCAGGCTGCATGTAAGTACAGGGCAGGGTTGATTGCATCAGCGTCCTTACAAGCCGCTCATTGCCACCAGCTCTAAAACTCTTTCGGACGCTCAATCATGAACAGCAAGAGGAAATCGGTAAGTACACGGCAGTGCTGGATGCTGATGCATCCTTACAAGTTGCTCATTGCCACCAGACCAGAAACGGTCAACATGGACGACGTATGGCCAGGGACAAGGGGACATAGGGGACAAAATTGCCTAGGTAGAGCGGCAATGGCGAAGTTTTACCAAAGCGGGCAGGGAAGGGTACTGCAACCCGGAGGGACAGTTGCGGACACTCAAAGGCGACAAAGATCGTGTAGCCGTTTCTGTCAGCATTTTCGGGATTTTGATTGCAGGAAACGATCCACAAAGCCTCAAAGCGTCCAAAAACAGTGCTCCGGTATTTTTCCCGGGCCACATCACTGCAGGAGTGCTTGTGTTCACTGCTGCGGAGCCCTCGGGAGGGTTTGAGCTCAGGGCGGGGTCGATAGCGAACGGCGGGGGCATGTGGTACCGAAAGAAGCCTCGTCATCTCTGCCGCGATGCTCGACAGTGAGCGATCTACGAGCTCATTCAGTACCGAAGGCCGTGTGGAACATTCCGGGCCCTGCTCTCGCTTGCCAACCAAGGGCGTCTTGGACCGCATCCTACGTAGGAGATTGTCCGTAGGATTGCAGCAGCCTGCAGGTATGTAGCTGTGATGGTGGACGGCAACTTCGGTCCCCGCACTGGGGTTTCGGAAGGTTCCTGCAGGACTCGCTTTTGAAGATCTTTGTGCATCGCAAGCAATGCGTCAGTAGTGATGTCCACACACTGATGGTGAAACGGTATCATGCTTGCCTTCCACTGTTCATGGTAGCAAGCGGCGTGGGTTCGACTCCCGCTCAGTGTATTTTGGTGACTATACTTTTGCCAATCGGGACTGACACAGACTAGGCTTGGGTACACGAGAGAGCATCTCAGTACTCGGTATCACATACCCCTAGTTGTGGTGAGGCGAAACATGATTAGGAGGAATTGTTACTACGACTATCTACCTCAGCCTCCAGCGTTTGGACTTCCTCCTTCAGCTCCAGGACCTCGGCTTTTCGTTTAGCAACTAGCTCTTCCAGACCAGAGCAGGCGGTTTCCGGCACCAAGACGACGTGCTGATCCATCGTGCGTATGAGCGCTGCCTGGAGTCCACGCAACATGCTCCTCAGCAAACCTAGCCACGGCAAGAAAGACGACTATACTACCGACCTTCAAATCCCGCTCCAGGCCCTCCCCAACGCGATCCCAGTCCTCCCACCACCGTCTCCGCGCGCTGTCCCAGCGTGCGACGGCCCACCGCACACCGACCGCGGCGCCCAGCATCCCGACGCCCATTGCGGTCTCCGCACCCATCCCGACGCTGATAAACCCGCCCGCGAGGCCGAGCTCGCTCGCCCACCCCGCCCAGGCGACACCGAAGCCACCCAGGACGCTCCCGCTCATTGTGATCACGGCGCGCTGGGCGGAGGCGTGCAGACGCTCCGTGGGGAAGCCGAGCTGGCTCTGGCGCGCGTGCAGGGGCGCGGTGAGCGCGGCCGCAGATAGAAGGTATGTGGGCGCTGCGGCGATGCGCTCGAGGGTGTTGTGCAGCACGGGGGAGTGGAAGGGCGAGGAAGGCGGGAAAGACCGGCTGAGCGCCGCAGCGGAGTCTCTGAAAGAGCCCTGCAGTGCGGCCAGGCGTCCTGCATGGAACACGAGCTGGAACGTAAGGTATATGAGAAGTTGAAGCATTGGAATAGAGGTCGACAAACCTTCCGCTCGAGATCTCTGCACCACGCCCGGTCGACCGCGGCAGTCACAACTTCCCGGATATCGTCCACTCTCCAGAAGAGCTTGTACCACTGGAGCGCGTCCGTCGTCACCTTGACGCTGTTCCGAGCGTGGCCGACCGCCTTGGCAATCTCGTCCCCGTCCTTACCAGACGGACCGAATACCTCCATGTGGACCTTCGCCTTGGCCTCTTCGATCTGCCCGCGGAGACTGCTAGTCCCCGCAAGCACCACATTGCCCTCGCGTTCTGCGTGTCCGAGCACGCGCCGACAGGTCAGTAGAGCGTCCTTGACCAACGCGCGGCCTGTTTGAGTGTGGACCGCTACCACTCGCGAGGATTCGGGCAAGGTACTGGCGTTTCCCAAGGCAGCGGTGATGATTTCCTTCGCGGCACGAGTTACGTTGGCAACATTCGAGCCGGTGACATCGTCCTGGTATCGCTGAACAGAAATGGGGGAACCAGAGCTGCTGCTGAGCTGTTCCAGCCCATTCAATGCCCGGGCAGGGTCCACAAATACCACCCGAAGGTCGTCGTGTAACGCGAGGGCCTTAATTTGGGCTGCTTGCACAGTGGTGATCGGGTGTGTTGGTGAGGGCGAGGAAACCGCGAGGATGATGTGCTTGCGGGATGTAGGGAGAGGCGGGGATGTCGAGACAGGAAGAACGGACGTCAGTGGAGTGGACGCGGGGTTGCACAGTATGATAGGAACGTCCGCCGTGAAGAGAGCTTTCGCTGTCTCCGGAGCGGAAGACGGCTTGTACTCGGAGACTTCAATGGGCACGCCAAAGTGCTGCAGCCACGAGGACTGGATGTGCACGACGTCATCTTCACTCGGCGTGGTGCCGTACCTAAACACACTGAGTATCTCCGCATGAGCAGGAGTGCTAGTGCGAACTCACTGTAACCTCACGGACCGGCTTCCTTCGGGTTGCGCATCCCAGCGCGTGCGAAGGGCCTTTTTCTGGTCGTCCGAAACGAAGGGGTCCTCCAGAAGTGCGGTTACGAGGTCGCTTGCACCAGCAAGCTCGTCAGCGCCGTACACTGCGAGGTCAATGTCAACTTAGCATCGCTCACGCGCACAGTACACTCGCAAGCAAAGGAGCACAAGTCGCGTCACTCACCGACAACGCGCACCCTGCCCTTCTCCTTCTCCGCCGAGAGAGACAAGTCCGCGTGCACTTGGTCCAAAACGTCTTCCCAGAATTGGAGCGACTCATGCTCTGAGAAACCGCTCGGTCCAGGTCGGGTGCTAGGCAGGATACGAGGAAGGAGAGCAGTTGTTTTGTGCAAGAGCGTCAGGGTGTGCGTCCGCTGGTCTTCGTGCCTCGCCGGAGTCCCAGCCACGGTAGAGAGCCCAGCTCGTGCAGCACTTGTTCGTGTTCTCTGACAGCCCGAGACCTTGCGCGCCGCGCATTGTGTGAGTAGGCGCGAGTGTGAGCTATGAGGATGCGCAGAGGAGCGAAGGAGGCCTGAAGAGGCGGCCAGACATGTCGGCATGGATGAGAGTCGCGATCATAGCGAGACGCGCCGGCCGCACGCGCTACTCTCGCTCCCAGCTTTCGCCCCAAACCTTTGCCCACTCATGGTATTCCACAAATCCATTATTTCAGCCCCCTATTCCACGTCGGTAGTGATGTACAGATACAGATATTAAGCGCAGACGCGCTGGTACAGTCTATAGATTACTCCCCGCTGACGACGATCTTCGGGGGAGGCGGCGGGCCCGCCCGGCTGCGCGGCTCGTCGTCGTCGCTCTCGTCCCCAATGTCGAACAAGTCCTCCCGCTCGTCCCATACGTCTGCGATGCGCACGGTCTTCTGCGTACGCGGCGTCCCGCTGGGCTTAGAGCCGGGGGTCCGCGGCGTGTGAGGCTCATAGTGTAGAGGAAGCAGCTGCGTTCCATCCACATCAGACTCTTCTTCATCGTCTGACATTCCGTCAGTGTTGAGGGGTTGATAAAGGCGGGATATCTGGCAACAAGTGATCAGTACGGTTAGAAGACAAAGGACACGGTTGTTCGTACTTCTCGGCGGTGCCGGTAGTATCGCTCAAGGTGGTAGGCAATGTATAGGCCCAGAGTTGAACCAAGCAGGTTGGCCTGGAGTTGAACGGAGCATGAGTATAGCTATTGGGTGCACACGTTAGCAGATGAACGAACTGCAATGTCCCCCGCTTGGAATTCCTTGTACTGTAGCTTGTATCAGCATGCGGTACCTGCTATGAAGTCTCATAAGACATACCGGCAGCATGGACTGCACAATCTCGCTGATGATACCTCCGAAGAAGAAACATACAACCCCGGAAAATATCAAAGGAGCATTGCGCCAGAACCATATGCGTCTTGCATCCCTGGGGGTGACATGGAGTTAAGCAGGGTGGTCTTCGCTGGCCTAAGTACGACTCACTCTTCAACGTCAAATATGAAGTAGAATACCCCCGTGGCGATCGCCATGCAGAAGAAGTGGAGCAGCTTGTCGTTTAGAGGAAGCGCGTGCGTGAAGTTGGTGAAGCCAAGTAACGCCAGGCTGACCAGGATGAAGCAGGTAAAGACCACAAACCACTGTACGTGCGCACACGCGTCAAACAGATGTGTGCGACAACAAAAGCAACGTTCGTACCGGCCGCAGGCGTATGGGCATGTCGTATTTTGGTATGCGGAAGGTGTGGGAGCGCATAATGGACTTGTTTAGCCTACGGACCGCCTTGCGAGAGCGGCGGGCTGTCCGCGTCCACAGCGGATCCGGGGTAGCGTCTGAGTCCGGTAGCCTAGGCATTTGGCGGAAACCTCCAAGAAGACGTCCAGACAGGAAGTATATGTGCAGTTAGCTGTCCCTGGATGCGACGATTAGCCCAGAGGGGGATCCAGAGTGAGTGAGTGAGGAGGCGGTGGCCGCGGTGGCGAAGGGCTGATCGGAGCCTTCGGGCTCGGAGGCGAGGCTTACGAATGCTTATTGCGTCGCTAAGCCTAAATGTGATTAAATTAACGCCTGACTTATCCCGGCTTATCCGACGCTTAATATGCGCGTCATAAATCTATTGCGCGCAGCTTGTGATTGTCCTCTTACGTTCCGTGCGGAGGGCCATGAACTACTCGGAAGGTTTCCTGCAGCAGGCTGCTGGATGCTCCTGCGCGCGCATCTCACCTCCACACTGCCATCTTGAATCATGTCCTCAAATGCGACGGACATCCAGGCCGCGCTGGCTGAGCTCTCTACCTGCGAGATCTCCGACGCGTTGATCAAACTGGGCACACCTCACGGCGGACACATTCCCGACATACACATGCTCTCCCCCACGGACTCGACGACCCGCCTCTGCGGGCCTGCGTACACAGTCCAGATGGTGCTGGGGTCAGACACGTCCGCGCCGAAGCTCTCTGCGCACTTCGTCGACACCGCCCCGGAGGGATCCGTGGTGGTAATCAGCGCACCGCATCGTTCAGTAACGTTCCCTGTCTGTTCGCTCGAATGTCGCTCACGCCGAACGTCCGTCCGCGGCCTGCGCAGGTGTGAAGAACGCTGTGTGGGGTGGCTTGATGACCGCAGGCGCGCAGTCTCGCGGCGCACGCGGGGTCGTCATCTCCGGAAGGTGCAGGGACCTTGCTGAGCACCGGGCGGCGTCCTTCCCCGTGTTCGCGAGGGGCCACTCGACGCTCGGCCAGTCGCCTTTCACGCGACCGTCGGCGGTGAACGTCCCTGTCGTCATAGACTCTCCCGGTGTCTCGCAGGAGGACTTCCCGGTGGTCGAAGTGACTCCCGGAGACTGGATGGTCGCCGACGAGGACGGCGTCGTCTGCATACCTCGAGGGTTGGCAACGCAAGTGATCACTTTGGCCGCGAAGGGGAGGGAAGTCGATGAGCGGTGCATGCAGGATATCAAGGCAGGCAAGGGCGTCCAGGAGACCTTCAAGCAGCACCGAGGAAAGTAAATGCTGACACTGTTGTAATATTATATCAACCGCTCCTGCCGGATATCATGACGTCGACGTATGTCTGGAAGTAAGAAACAGTCCACTGTAAAGGAGAACCAAGCACTCTACAAAACAAAGTGGTGACACTCCCTCACCCGGTGTACTGGGGTGGCGACTC